CCGCCGCCCGCCATGTTCTGTGCCTCCCTCTGTTGGTCAGCACACATCATAGGGAGTGGTCAAACTCCGGATCACACTCGCAGTCAAGGGGACAATTTGCATATTAGGCTTTTATTATATAGGATGGCCAAAAAAGAACTTATGCTGATCTCACGTTTAAATGTGCTATGCAGGGGTGAGGATGAAATTGCCCAGAACAGAAGGTTTGCATCCCCTCCCTTTCTTTCCCATTTACTGGTACAGTTCCTGAGAAAGATGAACTTAATTACCACTGGATTTCAAACGTCCGCGTTTGGCTTTCTTACTGACTCAAGCCCCCAAATATGAACAACTACAGTAATGGAAGCATTAAGCACATTAAAATTAGACATTCCTTTAACTTATCTATTTTGCCTTCTTTTCATATTCTTTTGCACAATTCTCCTAAAACTTTCACTGATATATAAAGCCTGCTTGTTTTCTTCTTTGTTGCAAAAATATATATATATCCCATCAAACTCTACCATCTTTATTTTGCAAACTTTGTAGAATAAATGAAAGACCTATTTCATTTATTCAGATATATCATGTAGTGTTTTCAGAAAATTGTATTTATGGGTGAAAATATGTAAGTATTTTAATGCTATTTTAAAAATAAGTACTATCCCGCCAAATATAAATCTATCATATTAGTGCTGGAAGCTGCCCTCTTTTCTGATTAAAAATGCTGACTAGAGGTTTTACTTGTTTGTCATGTCAGATTCTGCAAAAGATGACAATATTGCAAATGACAGTGAAGTAACAGCTCATTCAGTGTGTGACCAAGATCATCCCAATGGTAAGTTATGAGGTCCTCTTTCAAGTTGTTGTTGATTCTATTGTAGAATATTACATTTTAGAGACTCAAATTTTAGTTCTCTGGAAAAAATTGAATCTGGTAGTATTTTATTAGAGCTGAATACCAGGTGATTAGTAGTGGCCACATTTAGAAAAGGCATTTGCTCTCCATAATCTTCATCACTCATTACATTTGTACAAGCCTGGCTTTATTTATTTCTTTTTACTGCCTGAACTCTATAGGCATTGAGTTTACAACTATTTAAATTAGGATATAATAGCAATGAGTATAAATGTGAGACATATAGAAAAATAGATCCAGGATACTAGAGCTACATATTCTTGGACTACAAGGAAGACAGACAGAGCAAACAAAAATGAAAAATAACAAAAAAAAGTTTTCCTAAAGCAAACCAGTTCCTCTAAAACACAAAGGTACCAGTTCCTCTAAAACACAAATATTATATTTATGGGGAAAGATAATGAAAACACAAAGGAGAACAGAAATCTATAAGGGCTCACAGAATTTATGGAGATCAATGATAAAGAAAAGCTTTTAAAGCAAACAGGAAAGTCAAAAATCAGTTTAAAAAACTAATCAACAAAATCAGATTACCCTTAGCTTTCTTCTTCCATAACTCTAAACAGTAGAAGAAAACGGAATAACATTTCCAGAGCTCCAAATAACACAGTTTCTATATTTAGTGAAAGTATTATTCATGCATGAAGTCAAGGGTAATATTTTCTCAGTAATACAAAGATTAAGAAAATATACCACCCAAGTACTTATTCTGAATAAACTAACAGAGGACTGTGCAAAAACAATAAATATAGAAAGGAAAGAAAACTTCAAGCTTGAGAAAGATACAGTTAAGAAGGCCTGAATGATAAGAGACTCGTTATATATATGAAAATGTTGTAGTGATTGTTTCAAATTAGTATCAAATGTCTTATTTAAATGTTTGTTTTTACCTTTTAAAATTATAGTAAGGGCTTTTTATAATTACAAAGATGGAGACACTTTGCTCTTAGTAATACAATTTTAAATAAATTAGACCATAACTCCATTATTCTCACTGAAGACAACATAGAACAAATATTTGTATATGTCTCAGAGACAGAGAAAGACAGAGACACAGAGAGCAAGAGTCTGATTAAAGGCATCAGAGAGGTTTAAGAGATAGAGCATTGTCTGGCTGGCTTATAGGAGAAAATGGATATCCAGAGATGTGAGTTCAGGATTTGAAACTGTTTTTACCTTAAGGCATTTGCTGATTCTTCAGAATGTATCTTGAATCACATTGCTCAGAATTGTAAGGGGCTCTGGTAAATACCCCGTTTCTTGGGTTAAAACCCCAAAGATATGTACCATAGCAGAAAAATTGAACCAGCAGATCAGCCTTCTGAAAGACTGCTGACCAGCTTTAAATCATCTCAATCCCTCAATTAAATTAAAACCAACCCAGATTGCTAGTTCCTCTAGGCACCTAAGAAAAGCAAATGTAAAATATTTACTAGATGAAAATGAGAGTCCTACAAGTTTTAAACAATTTTCATAAGCAATTTGCTAAATATAATATTCAGCACACATATAAGAAATAGCTAGAATAAATAAGAAAACAAAGTAATATGAAAATCAAACAAACAGTCAAGAGTGGCAAGCCACTAAGGCTGAAAATATTAGAGTTATAAACATGTTATAAAACACAAAAGCTATGTATAAAGAAAGACAAGATTGAAAAAAAATGATCTGAGAACTGGAAATTCAAAACAAAAAAAAAAGGAAAAGGAATCTAAAAGTAGAAGATGCCACAACTGAAATGAAGAACTCAATGAATGAATTTGTGGTTTAATAGCATATTTAGATAGAGATGAAAGAAAAACTGTGAATGTGAAGTTATGCCACAAAATATATATCTAAAATAAAAACAGTATATCCAAAAATATATATCCAAAAGAGAAACACAGAGTAGCAAACATTACAGAAAAGGAAAAGACATGGAAGATGAAATGACAGTCTATCACAGAAAATTTGGCAGAAGTAATATTTAAACAAATTCTGGTGAGATTTTTTTTATAGTGTTAAAGGATATCAAGCCATGTGTTTCAAAAGTCCTTTGAAGTATAAGCAAAATAAATTCATGACTAGGCCCATCATAGCATAACTATTGAAAATCAAAGATAAACAGAACCTCCAAAAAACAATCTTTAAACAATTAGCTGACTTTTCAATAGATATGATGAAAATAAAACGATGATGCAAGAGAAAATTGCTAACCAAGAATTCTAAATCCAGCAAAAATATATATTTTAAGAATAAAGGTTAAATGTTTCAGATCAATAAAAGAAAATTTCATCACTGGAGAAATTCTGGTGTTCTTAAGGTAGGATGATACCAATTTCAGTTAGAAGGTCAAAGATGAAGGAAGGAATTAAAAGCAAGGTGAATGGTAATTATTAAATAAGTCTAAATGAATATTGATGGCACAAATCAATAATGATGATTATTATAATAGCAATGTATTGTGGGAGTTAAGGTATACTTCAACAGTATAACTGAGATATTAAATTTTAAAAGATATATCACAAATTAAAATACACTACAATAATGGCATGTATCGGGATGAGGTAAATTAATTGTGCTATTTTTCCAGGCACATTGGCATTGTGGAGAATAAAAACACCAATTAACATTAAAATTTAATGTCTCTGTGATAACCTAAGTCAGGAAATGAGGTGAGTCATGTGATGTCCCAGATAAATGCTGGGAGAGACTTCCCAGACCAAAATGCAGAGAGGGAGGGCATAGGCAGAGCTCAACAGACTCCTGAGTTGAGGAGATAGAGCTAAAATTCCTGGAAGGCCAAGGTATCTAGTTATTTTCAGGGCCGAGCACAGAAGAACATTTTAGAGATCTACGAAGGGAATCCCTCAAGTCTCTGGCTGAGTACTGATCAGTGCATGCATGATTATAAATTACCAGTGCAAGCATGAGAGGCTGGGTAAAGAACACTAAAAGATTTGAAAGAATATCTGAAGTTTCCAGAGGTTCTGGGAGAAATGCCTGTTCCACCCATACTGGAAAATGTATAAATTCATGGAGGGCTTAGAAGGACTTTGCCTCAGTAGTGGACCAAAACTAGCAATATATTAAGTGCTGCTCTTGTCCTCACCCAATTCAGCTTAAAAGCAAGATTTGAAAAGTTCAAACTGTTTCTGAATAACTTAACTAATCCTAGAATAAAGCTCAAAAATATGTATAGAAATCTAAGTATATCTCATGCCCATCAGAGTAATAGACAAAATTACTGGGTATAAAAAAAAGTATTGCAAGACAAATCTTCATGCATCTCTTCCGTTTTGTATATTTTACAGAGGGT